AGGAAAGGTATAGCTGGCCCCCCATATGAACAAGTTATTATAAAAGGTATTAAATATCTAGGTACAGTCATTGATGACAAGCTTTCGTTTCAGGAGAATGTGGACCATACACATAAGAAAACTAGACAGCGTTTAAGTCTACTTAGAAAGCTTAGAAATGTTGGCATTGATAGGAGGATCTTAACTATTGTTTATAGATCTATGATCGAAAGTGTTTTAACTTATAATATTGTATCATGGTACGGAAATTTAACAATGAGACAGAAGAACAAATTAACGGGAGTAATTAATGATGCGAATAAAATTATCGGCCAAAAGCAGAGTACACTGAAGAGCTGTTTTCATATTTCATGGAGAAAAGGGCGCTAGCAGTATATTCAGATCAGACTCACCCCCTCTACTCCTGCTTTGAGGTCCTTCCTTCGGGGCGGAGACTACGTAGACCCGTTTGCCAAAAAGAACATTTACAAAAGATCATTTGTTCCATTGGCGGTGACTGTTTTAAATCAAATTCTCAATTGAGGCGGGCACTATAGGTGTGTGAACATGTATATGGTGTATTAATTTGTTTTATTCATGTATGAGTGTTCAATCATTTGTTTTATGTCTTGATACCAGTGTCAAAGATGAATTTCTGTCCAGTAAATCTGAACAGACAATAAAGTCAAACAAACAACAAACAAAATACAACCTTCTCCAGTTTAGACAGAAACGGACGTTTCGAGATAGGTCTAAAATTAGCAAAGACTGATGAATCCAGATTGGGTTTCTTGATTACTAGTTCCACTGCTGCATGTTTAAAAGAGTTGGGTACAACTCCCGAGGACAGGCTACTATTAATAATATCAAGTACTGTAATTACAAGATTGCTGTACTGCTGATGCCTTACATGTCATCCATCTTGCTCACATCTGGAACACAAGAACATGTGTCAGAATGCTTTTCATCGATTTCAGTTCAGCATTAAATGCTATTCTGCCACAGACACTCATTAGTAAACTCTACACACTCTGATTTAACGCCACGGTTTGCAAATGGGTTCTGGACTTCCTGACTAACAGAACTCGGGTAGAAAGAATCCACGAAAATACATCACACTCTCTCACTCTGAGTCCCTCAGGGCTGTGTTCTCGGCACATTACTGTTCACACTACTCACCAATGACAGTATTGCTCAGCGTCGGAACAATCATATCAACAAGTCCGCTGACAATACAACAATGGTGGGCCTAATCTCACATAACAAAGAGACAGTGTACAGAGAGGAGGTGAGAGACCTTGAGCTGTGGTGCACATACCACAATATTTCCCCTAATGTCAGCAAGATGAAATAAGTGGTTGTAGACTTCAGGATATCTCCTGCGATCTACCACCCACTGCTTATCAACGGAGCAGCGGTGGAAATAGTTGGAAGCTTCGAGTTCCTCGGGGTTAACATTACTAATGATTTCTCCAGGAACCAGAACACCACTTCCCCCGGTGAAGGCCAACAATGTCTACACTTCTGGAGAATGCTTAAAAAGATGGCATGAGTAAGATCATCATGATTAACTTTTACAGATGTGTTGTGGAGAACATCTTGACCAATAACATCACAGTCTGGTTTGGCAGCTGTTCTGCCACTGACAAGAGGACCCTACAGAGGGAGATAAAGTCCGCCCAGAACATCATTGTGCCAGACTGCAATCTTATCTATGGAGGACATAAACAAAGTTCGGTACTTTAAGAGAGCAACCAGAATTGTGAAGGACGGTACCCATCTCTCTACTGGATTGTTTTGCCCACTGCTATCCAGTGGCCAAGTGTCCAAGCACAGCTTCTTCCCCAGGCGAACAGGTTATTTAACAGCAATGGTCTCTTTGCCGAGTGTGTCATGTGTATTACATAAAGGGACTTTTCCATTAAAGGGTGTTGTATAATAGAGTTGTTTTGGAGTTGAGACTTTGGTGCTGTCGCCACCGGGCAGTTGTTTCTCACTGTAACATGAGCCGAGCCCTGTCCTTTTCAGTGAAGTAGATGTCATTTTTCTAGAGAAAAGCACACCATTGTCTTTGTACCACACTGTATCAGGAAAGGGATTTTGTTTTTTATTTTTACACGTTTATTTTTGAATTTTTATGTTTGAGTTTGACACCTGCTTCTTTTTTTATAGCTGACAGGAGATCGGAAGACAATATATTTGCATTTGGTCCGATGTATCTTTTTTTATGTGTGCTTTATTGTGTGACTAAAACACACTAAAACTAAAACTCTCAAGACACTGTGTATTTCACTCTTATCAAAGAGCCAGTGTTCCCATGGTCATGGAAAACATCTAGGAATTTATTTTTATGGTGATTTTTTTTTTTTCATTCCTGGAAAGGCCATTGGAATGAATAATAAAAAAAAAAAATTCTTTTTTTAAATCTAGGATTTAGATAAGTTATTTTGTAGTTATGGTTAGCTTTAAAATATATATTTGCCTAGAAATATTTTTTTTTAAAGTGGTCATATAATGCCATTTTTGTACAAGCTAATATGATTCTTTAGGGTCTAAATTAAAAGTTTGTAATATACTTTAATTAAAAATTCTCATTAGTATTGTAAGAAAACACTTATTTTACCTGGTCAAAAACAGCTCTGTTTTCAGCACGCCGTTTCAGTGCATATGACTTTAAATGATAATGAGCTTTGCTCACTCCACCCCTCTGTTCTGCGCATACACCGTTTGTAACACAATAACACAATAACCACGCGTTGTTCATTATAAACGTGGGATTATGAATTATATTGAGAACGTTGTACATAGAAAACATGCTGTAATGTACCCTGAGTGTAAACCGACGCATTCATCGTGAAGCGTGCAGCTGGCGATTTGCAAAGATTATATAAATATTAATATAAAGATTAATAAAACGTTACACTCACTTTAGTTCTTCTGAAGGTTCAGCAGGAAGACGAATAGGTTCCGATCCTTTATTCAGGTGCAGCTTCTCAGCAAAACCAGCTTTATACTGATCCTCGTTTATAAAGCAGTCCACTGAGAAATGATTCGCGCAAACATGAGAGCATTGACGTTGCTCGTGGGGAATATTCCCTTCGAAAACAAACTCAGCCACTGCGTCTTCAGCGGTTCGGATTTAGGAACATTAAAATGACTGCTGTGTTTGTTATTACACCCAAGAACAGAACACCAATCGCTGAGATGCCATTCTGCTCATAGACAGTGCTCCAGCATATCAACAATGACCGCGCCGATCCGCGCGGACTATGATTGACAGGACGAGCGAGGGCGGGTCTGTGTTGAATCACTGGCGTCAATCAACAATCGCGGGAGGGGCGTCCGTTTTATTGTCGTCACAAAAACGAACGGCTCAATTTGAGGCAGGGGAAAACATATAAGGAGATTAAAACAAAAACACTGGATGGATTTTTATCATTATATGATGGTTGTGTACAGGCACTGCCAACACACATTTCAGTACAATCAACTTGTAAAAGTGCATGTACCATTATATGACCCCTTTAAAAATCCCAATGCATTCATCACAATCAACTGCAAAAATCATGGATTTTTTTTTCCGTTAAATCCTTTTGTTTTGCTTATATCAATAATTTGCCTTGCCTTTGTGGAAACACCTCAGAGAGGTTTTATGTTGACCTATATTGGTCATTGCAAAAGTAGCAAGGTCCAAATACAATAGGCCAGACAGTCATGGATTCAACAACTACTCGACTTACATAAAACGCAGTAATCTTTGTATTGACATTCTAAACCAAACCAAAACCATATGTACTCTCAACTGGAAGGATTCATTTGATAAGAGACCTGTTTGTCAAAATTATTGAATGTATGATGGGAAAAGGATTCACAAAAGGCATTACGACAGTTTTAACTGATTTGAACTCATTTCATATTTGATGATCTTTACAGAGTTATTGAACGAAACTGAATCCACACTGAACTGACTTCAGCTGAATAATGACACTATTATCTTTTTAAGTTGCTTTGCAGCAGAATTGATCTGTTTGTTTGCATCATTGAATCATTATTTTCCTGTTTGCACTGTATAGCTGCTTGAAAACAATCTGTATTGTATAAATTGCTACAGAAATAAAGGTGACCTGACTTATGCTGATTAGAGTATTGCATCCACTGCAAAATATCATATTCAATATCAATGTGCTGTGTTAATGTGGCGAGCAGGACGAGGTCGAGGGCCGCGGGAGAACGGCGCGAGGCCGGTGGCGTAATTGATGATGAGCAACACCTGCGAGACGCACCGGTCTCGTATCTCTCACGGAGGAGCGGAAGAAAGGAGGAACGACGACAGTGAAGAGTGAGAGAGGACCAGGCCTGGACTTATGTTGGGTTTTGTTTGTTGTATGATGTGACAGCAGTCGTCCGTGAGGGACTTTTGTTTTGTATTTGTTTATTTTATTATTAAAGTTGTAAATGTTCGCCGGTTTCCGCTTCCTTCCTCCCACAACAACGAACTGTTACAGTAAATATGAAGGAATTTTCCATATTGATTTTTCACAGATGTTTTACCCGTATTTTAATGGACGCATTGCATTGTGTTTTAGAGTTAAAGGAAATGTCTGTTAACTAAACAGATAATGTTCTGGCAGAAATTTGTTTTTATACTTTTCCTAGTTTTTTTTTCTTACAGCATACAAATCCTTAAATATGAGATCATTTAGGCCTACTTGTTGCTTAAGATTTAAAGACATGTTTTCATCGATTTTATCTATGTGTATTAAGTATCGGCCATCATATTAAAAATGCATCTATGAAAAGTCCTTAAGTCTTATGCAGTGTTGCATCTCAAGTAAATTTATCCCGAATTTTAGATCTTTTAACTGGAAAGCTTAGCAGCGTATTAACGTCATCAAATTGAAATGGGTGTCTGTGTCTGTATGATAAGTGTAAATACAAGGGCATTGAATGTCTTTGCATTAAATATAGTAAGTTGTGCTTCCTCAAACATCATCTCTAAATATAATCTTTCTCATTCCTAGACTCCTTTTCTGTCAGAGTCCCACCCGGTCCTGTGGTCGTGGCCCGTGGAGCAACGGCTTCTTTTTCCTGTGAATTCGAGCCAGACTTAAATCTCTCTAATCTGGTGATCAACTGGCAACGGGTAGAAGATGATCGAGTGGTTCACAGCTTCTACTACGAGAAGGACCAGCTCGATCGACAAAGCTCAGATTATGTCAATCGAACACAGTTAAACCACGATGAACTTGCTAAAGGAAATGCATCTCTGAGTATAGCAAATTTTGGACTGAAAGATGCAGGGAAATACCTGTGCACAGTGAGCAACGGCAAGGGAACTGGCAAAGGAGAGCTACAGCTGGTCTACGCAGGTAAATGCCAGCGTTATTTTAGTTTATTTAATATACTGTTATAGATTTTATTAATATTTTCAACTTGTTTTTATTTTAAGTTAGGTGATTTTGTTGTGCATTTTTGTAATATGTATTAGCTTTTTTCAAATACGTCTATAGTTTTATTAATTCTATCTAAGTTTTGATTACTTTAGTACTTCAAGTTAAATTAAGTAAAAAATAGTTTTGGTTGTGCTTAGATGGAAAGGATCTCAAGCTGACTAGCTGAAGACGTTACTTTACCCAGTAATAGACACAGTACTTCCTTGAAAATTAATTCCAGCACAGCGCTACAACAACCATAATGAAATGACTCTTCACAATAGATAATGCTTTACAATGAACTCTGTTAGAGAGCGACATATGGCAAATCTCTGCGTCGCTTTTACAACATTTCAAATCCCTCAGTTCTCGCCATCTCCGAAAAGCCAAGCCAATGTTGATTCTTGTTTTATTACGAGATCTGTCGCTTTCTCTTTTTGCCAGCAGACTCTCCTCTGTTCTGTGTTTTTGTTTATCATTTTTTAATTTGATAAATGTGTGTTTATCAGGAGGTTTGAGATTTAGCTGTTCCATGTCGACCTTTCTCGCTCGTTGTGACTACTAACCTCTGCCACTCCCACACTAAACAAGCGTCAAAGTAGCTGGAGCAACTTTTCTCTAATTACAGATATGACAAAACCAGCCCGTTCTCATCCTTTGGCGTCATATAGGTGACGCTATATGACAAAACGTCGAAATACTACGCACATGGCACCCTTTAGCGTGAATATAACACGCGAACCCAAGGCGTCATAAAGTTGACTGGCATCCTTTAGCGTGAATATGAGACGCAGACCCTACCCCACACCTAAACCTACCCATCACTTCGCGTGTTATATTCACGCTAAAGGGTGCCATGTGCGTAGTATTTCGACGTTTTGTCAGGCGTCACCTATATGACGCCAAAGGATGAGAATGCGTTGGACAAAACACACACAGTTGAGTGACATACAGTATGTACGCAATTTCCCACAAAAACCATTTAGGCTTTGATTAAGCCAGGATTAGGCCTTAGTTCAATTAGGACATTTAAGTAGCTTAGAAAAAAACATTACTGATGTGCATCTTAAGACAAAACACTGGCACTGACATATTTTAAATTATGCCAGTACAAGCTGGTTTCAGTTAAAACAGCTCAAACATGCATTTTACTCTGGGAATAGGCTCAAGCCTTGTCTGTGAAACTGGGGGATAAACCTATAATAAGCTTACCATAGTGAATCAGGGTAAGACAAAAACACATTTTGGAACAAGGATGGATTAGGGGAGAGCGGGGTACAACCTAACACATTTTGGTTTTGGCTCAATTATTAAAAATATTATTAAGTTAGATTCATCTTTTTTTTACACAAGCAACATACACATCTCTGCTACAAATGAACACTTAACGTTTTTTTCTAGGACCTTCCATTTTCGTACTGTTGCACTGAAAGTGACAGAAGTGCAAATGTTACAACCTACCCTATATGCGGGGTTAATTGTAACAGACAGAGGGGTTAGTTGTAACACTTGTGTGTAACACACATAATTCAGTACTATTTTATCTGTATTAGAGGCTGACATTTTTTCGGGAATCCCACGGGTCCCGGGATTCCCGTGGGATTCCTGCAGGATGGGAGTCATCTTTGCTATTAATCACGGGATTTGGACGGTACAGGATAAATGGTTAACGGGAGCAGACGGGAGCGGGAATCAACCAATAGCAAAGACGTCAAAAAAAAAGAAAAAAGTAAATGCACCATTTTGTAGTTTCCTTTTAATACGCCTACAATGTAACGCAATTAAAAAATAACTACTCGACCCAGCCGTCCCAGAAGCCATCAGTGCTTTTTGTCACGGCTTACCGCCGGAATTCAAAGAGCAGTGATGGAGGGAGCTAACAGCCGCGGAGAAGTCGATGTGGCAAAAAATTATTTACAGCGCAAAGTCAGAAGTAATGACATGTCTACTCAATCCAGACAATGTAGATGCACTTTTGTTCCTACACAGCAACATATAACTAAGATGGACTCATTATGCAAGAGCATAATTTATGAAAATCGTTAACATGTAATTAAAATAAACTATAAATGTAAACTATAAATATATTGTTTACTCAACAATAAATGAGTAAAATCCAGCTTTATGTGCTGTTTGGGTTTATTAAACTATTGTAGACATGGTGTGAACTATGTACTGTTTTTCTTTTATTTGCCGTCTTCCATTTTCTGGAGAAAATCTAGAAACAGGGGCTCAGCAGCTGGTCTAAAACAGGATGGAGAGCAGATTAAATCAAATTCTATGTATTAACTAAGCACTAATTGAAGAAAAAAAATAAATGGGAGCGGTACAGGAGCGGGAGTCAGTTTAAACAGGAGCGGGATGGGAGTGGGAGTCAATTTACCAGGAGCGGGATGGGATGGGATTATTTTTTAAACTTTGGTCTGGGAGTGGGACGGTACAAGATTACTTTCTATGGGAGTGGGACGGGACAGGAGTGAAAATCCACTCCCGTGTCATCCTCTAATCTGTATAGTTTGATATTGTTTGTGCATCTCTATAGATAGATATCCATACATCCATCCCTCATCCAATCATCCTTCTATTATGGATCAATATCATGGATAGAGATATGAAAGGGCTGCACAGTTTTGCAAGCAATAAATAAATAAAATCATCAAATATTGTAATTACAATTGAATTACATTTGTGTGTGGCAGCTGCATGTACAATTATTATTATTGATAAGAATAACAGTAATAATAATAAAAACGAGCTTAAAATAAAATTTTAAAGGGGTTATTGCATTAAAACCAGGCTATATTTATAATAAAGAAACAAGTGATCAATGCATAGTAAACAAAAAAATAATAATAAAAAATCCAATATTGCTTGTGAAAGTCCAACAAAGTTAAATATATAAATATATACTCAAACAGGAAAAGTTGTGTGGCTCCCTGTTTTCATTTGATTATAATTGTACACTTGGCGGCTTAGTTGTAACACTGTGGTACAACTAACCCCGCTGTGTAAAACATATTTTAAGCCTAGGAGTTGCTGACATGTTTCAAAACAGTGCTATGTTTTAGCCAACAAGACAGTGATTAAGGCAATATAAAGTTAGATTTGGTGACGTACACACCCAACTCAGAAACCAAAAAAAACCTATGATGAAAAAATTTACTTGCATGGTGTCAAAACACTCTTTGTCCAGTATCTTCATGAAATCTTATCAAAACTTTCCACAAATTCGCGGGAGACCGTCTTCTGGCAGCGAGAGAAAAAGAGCGGAAACACAACGGGCTTGATCCTGACTAACTATGTAAAAGGTCCGTGTTACATTTAACCCCGCGTAGGTTGTGCCCCGCGCTCCCCTATGTATTGACTTAATTTTGAACAAAAAAAAGTTACATAGTGTACCTTTAACTATAATAACTCTGCCAAACACTAGTAGTCACCATTCAAATTAAAGCAATAGTTCTGATTTACGTTGCAATGTTTAAGGTGCAACACAAAAGTGTAACTGATGAGGGTGAGTAAATAATGACAGGAGTTTCTTTTTTAGTGTGAACTATTGCATGACCATCCCACTTTGTAATATTACAATTCGCGTTGAAATTCTGTATTCTGTACTAATGCATATATCAAGTCAAATAGATTTTGACTTCTTATAGTTAGATGTGAGAGATTTGAGTGAATGTATTTGATTTGGTGAATCATTGTATGTGTTTTGTGTCTTCAAGCTTTCTTTTCCGAACCGAGGTTAAGCATCCATCTCAAATCCTCCGATGTGACGGTCCAGTATGAGATGGAGAGCTACCCGAGGCCAGAGATCCTGTGGCAGGGGTCGGGGGGTCAGAATCTCACTAACCACCAGGAGGTCTCGTCTGCATCAGATGGAGGGCTGTACTACTTAAAGAGCAGCTACGTAAGCCAGAAATCAGCGTTCAATGTCACGTTTACTCTAATAAACCCTGCTGCGCATCAGGAGCTACAGAGGCATGTTATCCTCAGCTATGGTAAGTATTTTAAGGGGGAAAAAATATTTTTATTGCATGTCTCTATGGGATACTTGTTTACATTTGCTCAATCATTTGATACATTTTATTGTGTTCCAAACCGATGTTGCAAAAATATGATGATTTGATGGATTTTTACAAACGTTTGGGGTCGGTACAAATGTGGAATATTATTACAATTTAAAACAACTGTTTTCTATTTGAATATATTTTCAAATGTAATTTATTCCTGTGATGTAAAGCTGAATTTTCAGCATCATTACTCCAGTCTTCAGTGTCACATGACCCTTCAAAAATCATTATGCTGATTTGCTCAAGAAACGTTTCTAATTATTATCAATGTTAAATCAGACAGCTCGTGCAAAGTATGGTGATTCACAAGTATTAGCTGTGTTTCAACCACCAATATCTTGGTTCTGTAAAACACAGCAAAGCAATGTTACTCAGGTGGAGCAGAAACAACGCAACCTTTTCAGGCCTTCCCGGTTCCCGCTCTCTAACCTCTCTCCAGCACCGGAAGCTTCTGCAATATTAACGCGATTCCTAAAGCTCTTGCCTGATTGTAACCCTTCTTTTTCCAATTAGATTCCTCTGACCTTTTCCTCTGGTAAGATCTCAGCCACCTCTTTCTACAGTCATCAGTGTTTCCCACAGAATTTGATTCTATTTGCGGTGGTGGGGTGTCGGGTGGGGCGGGTTGGTTTTTTTCGGGTGGGTCGGGGTGGGTTGGTGTGGGGGGTGGTAGGGGGGTTAATTAAGGCACAACAAAAGGGTTAAATATATCCTATATTTTTATTGACACGTATCTTTCTATGACTGCTCCACAGACTTCTTGTTGCAAATTTTGCACCCTTTGTTTGCACATTTAATTTTACGGGACTTTCTGAAAAAATATTCCAATGCCCTATCATATGGGAAGGCCTCAGGACAGGGTCCATTGATGGAGATCCTCAAGCAGGCAGCCAGGTGATCTCCTTGAAGCTGGTTTCGGAGGTCTGTTTTCACCTAAGGACAAAGCAACAACAACAAAAAATTCCCACAAAATGCACTAAAATAAATAAAATGTATAATTTGATTGAATTTCGCAAAAACTCCCATTTATCACAAAAAAGGTTTTACGCTCGCGTGAGGTGGTTTTTCAGGCAATTCGGATTTTTTTTTTTTTTGCAAAACTGCAATGGAAACAGTTTTTGCGCATTTACAGTCACCTGACTTAGAAAGCGCAGTGTGTTTGGACAGAATACGAGACAGAGTTCTTTATTAAATTCATAAAAGACAAAATAATTACAGGAATACTGGATTCTAAACCTTAAAGAAATGCCACAATCAAGAGCTCGGAGCAGAAATGAGTGAGAAAACACCTCATATGTGCCGCTCACAGTATAAGGGTCTTTCCTTGTCATTAATGCTTGGATAACACGCGGCCTACGTCTCTTTACATTAATAGGCTAATGATAATAATGTCTAGTGCGGTGGCTGTGAAATTAACCTACCAACGTCCGTTGCCATGATTTTTGGAATGACTGATCGCGAGAGGAAAAAAAGGACGTTTTAGTCCCGCCGTCATTTCGCAATAGTTTTTTTATCGATATTTAGAAAAAATCTGTAATGGAAACGCGACAGCGTTTAACATAGACTAACTTCTCAGAGTTATGTTGTGCGTATACTAACCTTTCAACTCCGGGTCCGGATTGATTTCTGGAATCTTCTTCGCTGGGGAATAAGCACCATCCTCCTACGCATGCTCATGTTTTGATGCAGATCATGCTCGAGGAGGAGGAGGGGATATTCGCGCGCGCGCCTCCGTTGTCAGTTTGTGTGTGTGAGAGTGAGAGAGAGGGAGGGAGCAAGCTAGCTGCGCGCAGCTCTACAATAAAATACTATTTACCCATATTAAATAGTTAAAAATTTGAAAATCAATCCGTGGCGGTCAGCGTTGCTATTGTGGCGGGCCGCCACAAATTAATGAATGTATGGGAAACACTACAAATGTCTGGCTTGCTCACTCTCTCTCTCTCCTCCCCCATCACGAGTGGACCCGCCCCCTTCTGCTGATTGGCTACAGGTGTGTTTGGTGCTCCGTCTGATCTTAAAGGAGAACTCCGGCGCAAAATGAACCTTTGGTCTAATTACACATTGTTACCTAGTCAACCGTTATCTGAGATTTGTTTTCATGATTATCGAATGTAAATAGTTTTATCTCTAAAAACAGTTTAGCCCCTAAAGCTAGTATATTGGGCATAGTGTAATGACAAATAAAAATCGCTTGTTAATACCACTAACAAGGCTCAAAATAGCCCCACACTAACACGGTAGCATAATGAGGTTCCCTACCTTCAAACCGAAGCATTGAGAACTTTGTCAGTGTCCAGACAGTTTAATAAGAAGATATTTTAAACATACAGTCAACTTCGCGTATACAGGCAGAAGCCATCTTAGAAATACAGTCTTTACCAATCGATCTACGAACGCCGATCCAAGCTTGCTGTTCGCGCTCACCTTATCACAACTTATAGCTCGTTCACATCTCACCAGCGCACTTGGATCGCCGTTCGTAGATCGACTGGTAAAGATTGTATTTCTAAGATGGCTTCTGCCTGTATACGCAAAGTTGACTGTATGTTTAAAATATCTTCTTATTAAACTGTCTGGACACTGACAAAGTTCTCAATGCTTCGGTTTGAAGGTAGGGAACCTCATTATGCTACTGTGTTAGTGTGGGGCTATTTTGAGCCTTGTTAGTGGTATTAACAAGCGATTTTTATTTGTCATTACACTATGCCCAATATACTAGCGTTATACTAGCTTTAGGGGCTAAACTGTTTTTAGAGATAAAAAATATTTACATTCGACAATCATGAAAACAAATCTCAGATAACGGTTGACTAGGTAACAATGTGTAATTAGACCAAAGGTTCATTTTGCGCCGGAGTTCTCCTTTAATTACTTTGACTGCTTCCAGTAGTGATGCTCGCACGCAATGTTTGCACTTCATCACAGATGAAATGGACTACATGCAATTTTTTGTCAAATACAGACGTTTCTGACGTTTTCATGAAGCTACAGAAACACTTTTCATTCAATACTTTATTTTCTGCCTAAAACAACACCTACAAGAATAAAGTGACGTGATGTCGGCACAAATTCCTAATCACCACGCACTGCTTCAAGTCAGATGCCAATCGGTCTGCGCAGTTATCTTCATAGTGTGTAAAATATTTTTGCAACTTGATTCCAACACATATAAGCACGATTCATGTGGAGTAAAAATCATTGCTGTGGTTTGCCAAGAAGAAGCTGGTTAAATGGCAGTAGACCTAGTTCAAAATATTCCCATTGGACTTCTCTGGTTTTGACATAGTTGAGTCATTAAAGGGATAGTTCACCAAACAATGAAATCTCATTTAATTCAGAAACCCCCATGACACTTCAGGCAGATGTGGTTTTCCCGACGAAATAAATGAATGTGGTCTGGGTGGGTCATATTATTGAAAGCATTTGAAAGTTTGGTTTGACAAACACCAAGTAACGTGTTTTCTTAGCATACATCTGCTTCAACTATGAGGTTCTTATGAAACGAGATTTCTGTGGCTCTGGGTGAATTTAGCTGGTGTCAGGCTGTGATGCAGGCTGTGTTCTGAGGCACTATCATTTATAATTAAATATAAACACTTGAGATAGTGAAAAAATTATTCTTGCTAAGTATACTAAAAATACATTTACATATTTATGTGCTTAATATAAATACCCTGCAATTGTACTTTTAGTATACTAAACTGGTATAGGCCTACTTAAAGTCGGCTAAATTGGAACTATTAATGCACTTAACTTATCCGCGAATAGTGCTGAAGTTCAACTAAAGATATACTTTAGTATATTTGATTGGGCTAAAGTCGAACTATTGCAAGTATACTTTAGGTTAACTTTTAATATATTGCATTTAAAGACTGATGTTATACAGTGATCATACTATTCTTAGTAATAGTGATATAAAAAAACACACTTTAGGAATAATCATAATTTGATAGTTTAATCATAATTGTATATCAGTAAGTCTTAAGTGATATGTCATTAAATATGTTTATGCATTTGAAGTATAGCTACTTAGTATGAATTATTTTAATGAATTTTGGCACAGTTTTTCCAACAGCTGTAATTACATGAGCAGATTTGACATGTCCACAGGAAAAGGCAGCGATGGTTTCGACTTCAGTCATACTTTATGGTTATACAATGGGGAAATTACAAACATGGTAGGCTATACTATGAAGGTTATATGATGCCATAAAGAATAGCCATTTCTGTGGGGGTGACCACAGAAACCGAAAATTCTCGGGACAGCAGCATGTGTACAAATTTTAATCTTAACCGTTCTATTTCATCAGAAACGATCTTGAAACAGGGCTTTAAGTGTAAAATACCGAACTTGTTCTTTAAGAAAGAAAATTTCTGTGTATTCAGTGCATGTACCCTGCTCATCAGGCCATATCAGTTTGTAGTCTTGATGGTGCTAATATCTGCACTGTACTGCATGCATAATTTCACCTACTGATCAGGGGGGAATTCCAGAATTATTATTTTACTAGAATGAGTTACAATAATATTTTTTCCCTTTAACATGTATTTTAAAGGGCTGCTCCGCTTTTTTTGGAAATAGGCTCATTTTACAACTCCCCCAGAGTTAAACTGTTGAGTTTTACCGTTTTTGAATCCATCCAGCCGATCTCCGGTTCTGGCGGTACCACTTTTAGCATACATCATTGAAGTGGACAAGACCATTAGCATTTCTCAAAAATAAATGACCAAAGTGTTTCGATATTCTTCCTATTTAAAACTTGACTCTTCTGTAGTTACATCGTGCACTAAGACCGACGGAAAATGTGAAGTTGCGATTTTCTAGGCTGATATGGCTAGGAACTATACTCTCATTCCTGCGTAATAATCAAGAAACTTTACTGCTGTACCATGAGAGCAGCAGGCGTAATGATATGACGCAGCGC